ACCTCCCGGTTGAGCACACAGACTATGTTCTCAAAGGTCGCTGTTTTCCTCTCGAGGGCCTCACACCTTCCCAGGAGCTCCAGGGTCCGGGAGAGCTCCGACTCTGAGCACAGCGAGTTTGCTGCCAGCAGTGGGGTGTTGTTTTGGGATGAGGAAAGGGCAGGAAGGGGCTTCAGGTCCCCAGAGGCAGCCTTGAGGCTGAGCACAGAGCTCAGCAGCATGTAGAGATGCTCTGCCAAACACTTGCTTTCATGTTCCAGAAGCTTTTCATTTTCCACCTACAAGGAGAGAAACACATCCCCCGTTCAGCATGTGCAATCTCCATGGGCACCAGCCACATAAACTCCCCCTCACGAGGTCACAACATCAGCTTTGAGTTATAAAGGGGAAAAACCAAAGAAAGAGTTGAAGATGTGTTTTGGTGGGGGTAGGGGTTTCTTTTGTTTTAGAAATGCTTCAAATCACATGCAGTGAGGGATGCAAAATGCTTCCTCAGCTGTACACACAAGTCTGCTCTGCATTCCTCCATCCCCTCCCAGAAAGGCTCTGTCAGATGTAAACAGCACCAAAGGACAAAGCCTCACATAACCCCCGAAGAAGGACTGATATGAACATCACCAGAGGGAGCTGGGAAAGCTAAGGGACATGGGGAAACATGGCCTGGCCCAGTTCTTTGCTTATAGAATCCCAGGCCTGGCCCAGTTCTTTGCTTATAGAATTCCAGACCGGTTTGTTGGAAGGACCTTAAAGCTCATTTCATTCCACCTCCTGCCATGGGCAGGGACACCTTCCACTAGCCCAGGTTGCTCCAAGTCCTGTCCAGCCTGGCCTGGAACACTTCCAGGGATGGGGCAGTCACAGGTCCTCTGGGCAACCTGTGCCAGTGCCTCAGCACCCTCACAGGGATGAATTCCTTCCCAATATCCCATCTAACCCTGCCTTCTGAAAGCAGCATGACCACCAGAATCTCAGAGCAATCAGAAGCTCCTCAAGAAGGAGGTTTCCTTCCCCAGGACATTCATTCCCAGGATACTCGGACTGCACAGCAGATGATGTGACGCTTCAGTGCAAAGGGTTTAAACCCCTTCTGTGTTCAAATACCTGAACACAAACACCTGGGACAGTTTGGGGGACAGCAATTTGCAGGTGAGCTCAACACTGGGTCTGGGAACAAGCCTCAAGGTGAACCAAGAGAAGCCCCTTACCACCTCGGCACAGCCCACAGCCTCAAACCGGCAAGGCACTCTGGATCTGCCACATCTCTTCACGTGGTCCCGGAACTAGGAAGGAAGGCAGGAAGGCACTGTTAGACCTTACACATCCCCAGTGGCTCCTTTCCACCTCGCTGACATCCAGGGAACTTCAGCTAAGCTGAAGGACACCTGAGCCACAGTTAATCACCAGCTCCCAGCATGTGGTTAAACTTGGGCACTGCCTGCCGAAGGTGTGACTTTCACGGGAATATGAATACAGCCCTCACCCCTGGAGAAAGCTTAATTTCTCCTTCTAATTTCTCCTTCTTTTGATGACTGGGAGGTCCCACTGCTCACCTGCACATGCAAGAGAGAAAAAGACACCAGCACCGGTACAGGCTGTGGGTGCTGAGCAAAGAGCTTCCCTGAGGGCTGAGGAAGGGGAGGCATAGAGAACAACTCCACAGGGACACAGTTAATTTGGGGCACTTCACATGAGCCTGCTCAGGATGTGCCACAGGTTGGTATTTTTACCTCCATCCCAGCATTCCATTCCTGCAGAGGTGCCACTAACCTCCAACCACTGAGATGACTTGTTTGGGTTCCCACACAGCACATGACTGATCCAACAAGCCCTGGCACAGCATCAGCCTGGGCTTGATACACCTCTCACCATCAGATACCACAGCCCTGTTCTGAACAACCACCATGTTCCCCACTTAACTACTACATCTACTACCACACATGTCGATTAAAACTGGGTTTAAACCACTTTTTTAAAGGCTTCTAGAACCATCAGGCTTGTGTAATCAGCCAGGTTACTCAGAACTAACACTGCAGCATCTAATCAATGAGAGTTTGGAGAGATAAACAAGGGAGTTGATATTTAAACACAGTGTGGATTGCCCGTGGGGATCCCACCAGCCTGCTCTCTGTGGGGTTCCAGCTCCAGCCCACAAATAAGCAAAACTGCACACCCAGCCCCTCCTTACACTGCCCATTTAGAACAACTCTTTGCTTCTATTTTTGCTGCTCTTTCCCCTTGCCCTGCTGAAGGGCCTTTTCCACCAGTGCTACTCAAAACATTTGCCCACAGCAGGCAGGACAGTTTCAGATATGCTTTTGAAAATGTTTCCCAAAACTTTAATTTTTCAGACTTTTGAGCCTTGTACCAGAAGGCAGCTGCAAGGAGGAGAGCTACATGGAGACATGGATTCCATCAGAGGATTAGTCAATGGAAGTGGCTGGAAACGGATTCCCTTTCCTTTAACTGCCACAGTGGTTGATGTAGTTGCCTTACCCAGGCCATAAACCCACATGTGTGCTTTTCCCACAGAGGCTCTGCCCCCAGACAAGGCTCTGAGGGAGGTGGCACAGGCAGCACCAACACAGACCCATGGGTGTAGTGCGTCATGCTCCCTCACACCCATCCAGTATTTGAGACTCATGGAAAGGTCACATCCATGATAACAGCTGCCACTCAACTGTTTTCCCCACTCCACATCCGAATGGACTCAACTTTCCTTCTTGCTCCCAGCCCATCAGGACACCAAACCCTCCCATGGCACAGGGTCGGATGGATACCTTCTCCCTGGGAATCTTCTTCCCACAGCCTTCACAAGTCAGTGGGAATTCAGGGCAGACTTCGTCATGGGCCTGTGAAAGAATGGACAGGAGATGTTTGTGCTCTGAACAACGTCCCCCCTGGAGGCTCTGTGATGGGCACAGCTCCCCAGGGTGGTTTTATACCTCATTACAACAGACCCCTGTATTTTCCAGCTCCTGCTCAAACCTCAGTCACGCTGATCAGTCTGTGCTGACTCACCCTGAGACCTCCAGGCTACCTCACTTGGATGCCTGCGTAGCCTCAGTCTCAATTTCAAAGCTGCTATAATGACTCTTCTAAAAATTAAAAGCCATTGCTTTGATGGTCAAGATAATCAACAGGAAGTTCTATTTATGGCTGTGTCAGGAGAAGACACGTTGTGACAGGTTGGGTGAAGTCAGGCACCACCTCAGCAGGATAATGTGTATTGTTTATCCACTGTGGTGGTGATCAGTCAGCTGAGGCACAGGCCCAGCGCCGGCTCAGCACACGCTGGGCTGAGCTGTCTCATTTCATCTTCACATTCCAATCAGAAAAGCATTTTTCAATCAGAAAGAAAAATATTTTTAAACTGTTTCCTTAGCCAGTCCCTGCACACAAGCACCTGCCCCTGCAGCCAGAATACGGGGCTGTGATGGCCAGAGGGTGATTTCTGTCCCCAGCAGATCCTGGGGCAGCAGTGCTGGCTAAATTGGGAAAGCTGCAACATGCATCTGCTTCTGTGTCACTCCACACTGTCCAAACCTCCTCTTGACACACTGACCGGTTGGAACAAGACATTGGAAACTCCATGAATATGCCGATCAAAATTCAGATCAAAAGATAAGGGCACTGAAGTCTTCATGGAAGGGACAGGAAAACACCAACCAGGAGTGTGTCTAAAGCAGCTGTCTGACAGCAGATGTTTGAGCACTGGGTCACATGCAGCCTCTACGGACAGGAGGTCCTGGTTTAGGGGGGAACCACACAGACTGCAACAGTTACACCCCCAAAAGTGGAAAGTGAAACCATAAGTGGCTCAGCTATGGTTTCTTGGTTATTCTCTCCTTTTGATGCTGTAAGTGAGCAGTAAGGCACAAAGCCTCACCAAGTGTCCCTGGAGAGGTGACCAGCCAGGGGGCAGGGATGGGGGGACACCACTGCCCACACGGACACTGCCCATACAGACATCACTGCCCACACAGCCACTCTGTCTGCAGATACTCTGCCTGCATGAACACACTGCCCACATGGACTCTCTGCCCACACTGACACTCTGCCTGCATGGACAGCATGGACACCACTGCCCACATGGACACTGCCCACAAGGACAGTCTCCCAGCACAGACATACTACCCACATGAACATCACTGCCTGCACTGACAGTGCTCCCTGCAGAGGAGGAGGAGGCCAAGCTCCTGCCTTCATCCCACTCACTCAAAGGGGCTGAGCCCTCTCTTCTACCCACCTACTGCTCTCATGTTCTCCAAACACCCAATAGCATCTCCCCACACCCCACAAAGCACTGGCAGAGGAACAGACAGTGTGGCTGCAGGAAGGAAACTTCACTGTGGAGACAACGATTTAAAAGGGAATATTGAAACCTTATGGTCTCCCATGCCAACATGCTGGGTGTGAAACCATCACCCCCTCCACACTCCTCTCCTCCTAGCACTCCTCCATCCCAACTCCAGCTGCACCCTGTTGTAATGCCCAAGAGCTCTGCCTGCACTATGGGGAGGGAAATCAGACATGCTGAGCTCAGCATGCAACCCATTGGAAAGGGTTAAAGACACCCAGAACTTCAGCCAGTGCAGATCCAAACCTCCAAACATTCCTGTATAAACAGTTTCAGGCTCTTCTAGAATCCCCTGTTCCTTCCCCACCACGGAGGTGTCAGAATAGAGACAGATAGTATCACAGCTGGAAGGAATCCACCCCAGCCCGGAGCCAAGAGCAAGGGCTGGCACCAGAGCCTGATCACACTCCACTCCCCCAGGAATGGGGCAATCCTCCTGTTTACACCTTTCCCAAATCCACATCTGTGAGCTGTTGCTGCAGGGATAAGCACCACTGACATCCAGGCATTCACTGGGAACACTTTCAGGAGCTCTGGGAAGCCACAGGTGTGAATGGAGCTAGGCGAGAACAGGTACTTCCCAGAGCGATCCTGGAGTGGGAATCACAGGGCCAGAGGGAGGGGACAGGCAGGGAAGAACTGAAGTGGAGCTGGAAGACAACAGCCTGACTCAGACCTCCAGGGCTACTCTGTGGTTGCCTCAGTGTTGACTGTCACCCATGGAGGCACATGCCAGCCTGCAGCAACCAACAGCAGGAGCAGGAAAATCAAAGCAGGCAACGCCAGCAGCCTGTCAGCAGCACCTGGCTCTGCCCACCCAATTCAAACCAAACCTGCTGACGGATCATGGATTTCACTCCCTAATAATAAACAGCAAGATAAGCCTGTGGCAGCCTATCCATCACCTGTCTCCATCAGACATGCAATTCTCTGGGAGCACACCTGAGAGGCTACAAATCAGACACCACTGTCCTTCCACAGGCACTCATGGGTTCCCACTGTGTCTCTTCAGTCCCTCAGCACTTGCCTGTGCTCCAACAGGCACAATCAACATATCACAGAATCACAGACTGGTTCGGGTTGGAAGGGCCACTAAAGCTCACCTTGTTCCACCCCCTGCCATGGGCAGGGACACCTTCCACTAGCCCAGGTTGCTCCAAGTCCCATCCAACCTGGCCTGGAGCACTTCCAGGAATGGGCCAGCCACAGCTTCTCTGGGCAACCTGTGCCAGTGCCTCAGCACCCTCACAGGGAAGAACTTCCTCCTAACATCTAATCTAAATGTCCTACCTCAGTATCAGGAAAGCAGAGAAGTGATTTGCAGTATTTTACGTTGAGGTTTCTCTCCCAGGATCATCCTCTACCACCCTGAGTGCTCAACCAGCAGGATGGGGCAGTTCCTGTTGTAGCTGCTCTGGGACAGTATTGCAATGCAGCTGTGCAGAGCAGCTCCGGCACACACAGGGAAAACAGGTTTTAGCAAGGGTAGCTACTACCTGGAGCACACCTCCCTAAGAAGACAGAGGGCAGACCACATTGGGGTCTGCAGATTCCTCCTGAGGGGCAGTGCAGGGGCAGCTCTGATCTCTGCTCTGTGTGACCAGCAGGTAGATGACCCAAGGAACAGCTGGAGCTGTGTCAGCAGAGGGTCAGGCTGGATATCAGGAAAAAAACCAGGGTGGATTGTTGGGGTGTCCTCTGCAGGCACAGGAGTTGGACTGATGATCCTTGTGGATCCCTTCCAACTCAGGATATTCTATGGTTCTACATCCATGCCAGGAGTGCTCCCCTGCCTCCACCTCGGACAAAAGGGAAAACTGCAATTTAATCCAATCACCGTTTAACCTCTCAGGGCTTCACTAAACCTGACTTGAACTCTGGAAGAGGTTTTGCTGGAAATCATTATCTTCTTGCCCTGGTGGCAGACAGGAGGTGCCCCTACTGCCCTGCTCATAACCTGCCATATCCAGCAGCTCCAGTTTTGTGGAGCTCTTGCAGCCACACTGCAAGAGTCCATCAGCATGACACAGAGTTTCCCTCCAGCCCAGGGGCAACACAGGCAGCTGGAAAACGTCATCATGAAACAGCTGCTGTGAGCTGCCTCTGCCAGAGCCTGTGGGAATGTCACAGCAAAGGGCAAGGCTGGCACAGGGACAAGGGACAGCAGGACAGGCTCGGGGGGAGCTGCACACCACAGCTCTCCTACAAAGTCTCCTGACCCCGGAAAGTCAATCTTTTAGTCTCCTCTGAGCACGGCGACAGCAACCATAAGCACAGAGCAAGCTGAAAGTCTTGGAAGCAGGAAAAGGAAGGAAAACCACCAGGAAGGATGACAGAGAAAAACCAGCTCTGGTTAGGAAGTGTAGTGATAGGACAAGGAAGAATGGGGATAAATGGACAGAGGGAAATTTAGATGAGATCTCAGGAAGAAGTTTTCCCTGTGAGGGTGGTGAGACACTGGCACAGGTTGCCCAGGGAGGCTGTGGCTGGCCCCAGCCCGGGAAAGCCAGGGTGGGTGAAGCCTTGAACTCCCTATTGTAGTGGAAGGTGTCCCTGTGGAGGTTGGGACTGGATGATCTCTAAGGTCCATTCTAAGCCCTTAACATACTGTGATACTATGATTCCATGTCCTGTCCCTCTGAAGACACCATGTCCTTCTGTGCTGTGGCTCCTCCTGCCAGGGGAGTCCTAAGCTGGTTCTGTGCCTGCTCAAATCTCTCCCCATACAGGCTGGCTACCAGACACATGGTGACCACACACTCAGTCCTTGTGCTGCATGGAGCCCAACAACAAATGGCTGGGAAGCAGGAACCTAGTCTGTAACTCCTAGTGCCAATGGGAGGTTTCTGAGACTGTCCCACGAGCTGGTGCCAGACACAAATTCCTCCCTTTGTTGGGACACGCTGGTGACAGACCCAAGCAAGTTCACTTGGCACCACAAATAATGAAACCTCAAAGAACAAGGAGTTTGTTGACAGAGGGACACCAAAACAGCACTTCAGGCACCAAAGGCAGGTGAGAAGGCATGAGCAGGTTCTGAAGGTGGCAGAAGGTACAAAAAGTGTTTGAAGAAGCAGCAGCAGGTTTCCACCATTTCCCAAACCAGACTGCCTTTCCCTGGTTGCTTTGAACTACACAAGCATGAGGTGGTGGCACACTGCAGGATGCTTTTTCCAAATGCTTCCATCATCCCAGAGGAATGATTTTCCTAGAGAGACCCTGCTCTGAACAGGAGGAGGGTTGGATCCCCAGAGCATTTTTGGTCAGCCTGAGCCTGGCCCTGCCCTGGCCCCACAGCCAGTGGGAGCCCAGGCTCCACTGTCCCCCACTGCAGACCTGGCTAGGTGCACGGCAAAACCAAAAGGGCTAAAATCCACTTGTCAAGGAAATTAAAAATAGTGTTGGACTATACTGAGTCTCCACAAACAGTTGGTTGACACATGAAGGAGGTTCAAAGTAACAGGGAACACCTGATCAGAGATAATTCCACAG